TACCGCGGAAATCGGCTGAAATGTTCAACTAATTCCGAGCACTGGTTTAAAGTATGTCTTTGAAATGTAGAATTATCTACTGTAATTAATGACAAAGGAAAAACCATTAATCTCAGTTAAATATAAATACAAAACTATAATTTATAAATTAATTACCTATATTCCATCGAGGATGATTTGCTTTAAGAAGATTAATTTTGTTGAATAGATTTTCTTGTAATTGTTTTATATTGTCTGAGCCTGGAAATCTACCAGCGATACCAGAAATAACAATTTCGTCACTGGATTCGGTATTAATATACGATTGATATGTTTTTTCAGTACTCATAATTTTAATTGTTTTATTAGATATAGAAATGCAGAAAAATAGATGCAAATATACTTATCTTATTTTATTGGTTTTTACTTGTTGCAATGTTTTTTTTTTTAATATTTGGATTTGAAAATGCGGTGTATCACTGAAATATCGAATATCGTTTGAAGACTGGATGATGAAGCGTTAAAGCACAGTTTTTATAAGCAAGTTGACGTAATTAGCCATTACGTGAGTTTTGAGGACTTTAAACTTATGAATGTAGTATCATTTCCGTTGTATATTTAATAATTCCATTTTCTACTTTTGTCACGTAAGTAAAATATGTGTAATTTATATTTTCAAAGCATTGTAACTTTACGAGAAATCATCGTATTTTAATTTGGAACAAATCATTTTAAAGCTTGAAACTACTTTTAAATGTGTGCCTTTAGCAAATTTAATTTTTTTACTTTATGAATCTGGTCGTATAACCGTGATACGCTTTGAATAATGTTAATGTCGGTATTTTCATAAAAAAAATTTTTTATTTTTTATTTCAAAAATTAAATAATAACACTTAAATTGCAGAAAAAAATTGTTTTTGAGATTTTTTAATCATTAATTGCGGTAGAACAGATTGATCTTATAGTTTCTAACATTTTCGGCTGATTCAGTTATGATGGACATATAAAAATAAATTTTTTAGCTAACAATGTTATTGTGTATTGTTGAGATAAAATTAAACTAAAAATGTAATGTGATTGTGGTCAAATGTCGATATAGTGTTATTATTCACTAATGTTCCGACTGAACTTGCAATTTCTGGTATCAAAAAAGTTGGAATCTCATTTCAAAGAACACAGCATTTTCTCAAGATAAATTTACATGCGCCATTAGATTCATATTAAGTTCCACATATTTTAGATTTGACGGTCACATTTATAAACCAACTTTTTGAAGTCCTACAGGCTGTCCTCTCTCACCCATCATTGCTGACATCACTCTATGCGACATAGAGGAGAGAGCGATGAATAAGCTCACATTTCATCCATCGTTTTACCTCTGATATGTGGAGGACATAATCTTAGCTCCTCCGAGAAATTATATGGATCTAATGTTACAGATTTTTATTTCATATCATGAAAGAATACAATTTACAATAGTAATAGATGAGGGAGGTCATTAGAATTTTCTGAATGTGAAGTTAATTGTCAACGATAAGTGCATTATATTTGACTGGTATAAAAAATCCATTTTTGGGAATCCATATTTAAAATTTTTTTTCTCAACATCTGATTACGCAAAAAAAACGTGATTATGAGTTTAATAGATAAAGCCATCTCACTATATCATCTCACCAAAAGAATTTAACAAAGATTGTGCAAATTCTATTAAAAAATGGATTCCGAATTACATTCATATTTAATATCATAAAAGATGGACTTAAATACAAATTTCACAAAAGAGGTGGTGATGGGAACGGTTGGGAGGGTGAAAATTCTGAGAGAGAGAAATTCTTCACGATACCGTGTGTGAGATTTATATCCGAAAAATTCTTGCAGATAAAAAGACTTGGTTTCAAATTATCCTTTATTCGCGCAGATGACTCAAGGAAATTCATTAGGACTCACAAAGACAATCTAGATACAATATCACATAGCGGTGTAGTCGATCAGATTTCGTGCAAAGAGTGTGGTGTCAAATACATAGGGCAGGCAAAAAGACAGTTGGGAACAAGAGTCCAAAAGCACAAAAATGATATAAAATTTCGCGGGGTTACAATGCATTGAAAATTGCTTCTTTTTAATAATTTTTCTTAATTGTTGTTTGTAGTATACATTAATGTGAAATATAATATTTGGCTTAACTGTGTTTAAAATAGTATTTTGTTATTTAAAAAATTATTCATTTTTATTCAGATTTAATCTTACAGAGGAAATGTAAAAAACTTTTCGAACAACATAAGATTAAAATTTAATACTAAATATTACATAAAGTAATAAATACTATTTAAAATAACATATTGTGCGTGCGTGTGCGTGCGTGCGTGCGTGCGCGCGTGCATATTTTTATATTTTTTGAACAATTTTGTTAAAATTTTAAAACCATAAAATTTTAAATCCATTATTTGGGAAACATTGCATCTAACGTTTCTATAACACCGCAGAACATATGAAACATATTAAAAATGCTTGATGAAAGACGGATGTGCGACATTAATGACCCTGGAGATATTAAATAATGAGTTCTGTCATTATTTAATATTCACTAATTTACGTAAATCATGATATCCTCGGTAGCAAAGTTTAAAGTATAAATTATTAATCTAAAATAAATTTTTATGATTAATACGCCGTGAACTATGCTAAAATAAATCACATATTTATATAAGCTTGCTACGTTAGCAAATTTGTAATAAAAAGAACAAGTACAGTGTATATTTTAATTATAAAAGTTACATAATATTTTAATTATAAAAGTTACATAAATTTCAATATATTTTTTAAATTTTTTAAAAATCAATTTTGAATAGATTTAAAAAATAAAGATACAAATTGTTTAATTAAAGTTAAAAAACCAATTCTACATATTAAGTACTATTTAATATAATTCTTTTGAAATATTATTTTGAATTATGTTATAATACACGCAACTTAAAAGAAATTTGGGAGTACGATTTGTAGATCATTATAGACAACATAAATATTAGTGAGAGTGTACTCTCTGTTGCCTCAACAGAATAAACTAACAAAAAGCTTGTAATTACATAATTTTAATTTTAATTTTAGATGTCAATTTCAAGAATTTTAATTTTAGAGAAAATACAAGAAAAGATATTTTTACTTTACGCAGTTGAAAAAATGTAATGAGTTTTTATTGTATTTTTAAAAATGCACTATGTCAAATTTTGAATCTATTACCACTTTTGGAATTTTTTATACAATCGATACAAATGTAATATAGTCAATAGCAGTTTCATATTTTAAGTTATATTGCTGCAGTGTAGTGCATATCACACATTTATCGAGTAAAAAATACACCAATGATTAGCTAATAATGCATGAACCAGAAATAAATACTATATACATATATATACTATTACAATAATACTATATACATATTAATAAGCAATATTGTTTGTATTTGTGACATACATATAAGTAAAAGTAAGGAAAACATGTTCTTAATTTACACAAAACTATTGCTGTGCTATATTATATTATTGCAAAATGTTATATATAACGTATATGCTATCTACAATTTCTCACTAATAATTTAAAATATTATATTTGGGTAATGCTTTTTTTTTTTATTTACTTACATATAACAATTGTTACGTTAATTATTTTTTCTATATAACTGCTGCAAACTGCATTTATTGGGGCATAAAATATATAAATTGTGGCAACATTGTAAATGCATATCATTGTATAGTATTGTAATATACATGTTATCAGACATGCAAAAATAGATAAGAAACGAAGGATATACGTCACTGATTATTCGCATGCAATTGTGTAATGTTTATTAATTTATGTAAAGTATGACGTAATTTCTTGCAAGTTTCTTAACTACGCATTTTATAAGTGAATTCTAATATAAATTGATGTGCAATACTATGTTGACAAAAATCAAACTTATTTTGGTTTTTTATGATAACAAAAGCATAACAAAAATAATATATGTAGCACATATTAGCACATTTATAAACTTAAAAAAACATTATCTTAAACATACCCCATAAATTTGGAGACAGTGAGTTTTCTATTGCTACAATGAAAAAATCAGACAAGTTTATTAATAAATAATACATTTGTAATTAAAATATATTTTGAGAGAGAGAGAGAGAAAATATAAAAAGAGACATTTACGTTCCTGACAGCAAAAAGAATTTATCGTATTCTTTATTGTATCTGCAAAAAGGCACTATTATAATTTTACGAGTGTAATTACCATTTCTTAAATTCTTGATATCATCAACACAGATGTAATATGAACAAGAACATTATATTACAAAGATATATTTCTTGTATAATAGTATGATAGATATAATTAATTTTAATAAATGTTTAAGTTTATGTTTATTTAGATTATAATATAATTTAAGATAATATAGCATTAACGATTGCATTTCTACTGCATTTTTGTTGCTATATTGTGATGGCAAATTATGCTCGCTTTTTATATTATAATAACTTTTCAGTTTTTATATATTGTAATTTTTATATCATAATAATAAATTATTATATAAACTTTTGAAATGTTAAAATTACAAATAATGTAATTTTTGTTCTATTTTCAATATAATCGAAAATTAATTATGTGGGTTTGAATATATAATTTTATTAAATTTATACGTAATTTTTTTGTGATAATTTTATGCCACGTGTACTGATTAGACTATAAAGAAGTGAATAAATAATTGGAGTGACAAGAAGAAAAAAGGACAGTGCCCTTAATTCACTTTTAAATTAATATTTACGTTTGCGTATGGCAGAATCCTAAGGCTAAGTCGTATTTTATAAATTCTGCGTACTTACTATGTATGAAGAAATAAAACTTGTAATAGCTAAAACATGTACGGCACATATTTTAATAAACTTCAAATTTATTTGTACACTTTTGTTGAATTTAAATACATTCAAAAAATTGGAAAGTACAAATTTTATTAATATTAAATGTTTTATTAATATTAAATTAATAAATAAATTCTGCGTAAAAGATACAACTATTTAATTGTTTCAGAGTATAATAATTGGAATTATGTTAAAACACGCAATTTAAAAGCAATTTGAAAATATGATTTGTAGATATACAGGATGATACAAAACAACCTGATGTCTTTGAAATGTCATATTTTTCAGCGATTTCCAAGATATAATTTGATTCTTAGCAAAAAATTTGTCTGCAGTATAGTTTTTAAGTTATAATTGACAATAGTTCGCTATTCTCTTTTCTCTCTCACACACGTACGAGTTTGGAACGAGCAGACAGTAAGAACGATGCAACGCAATATAACGTGACGCTTGTCACGTTTTGTTAACAACATACTAATTTTAATCTCAGAGCAATCACCGCCTCTATAATTTTTGATGCATTTGATACAAGTGTAACGTAGACAATAATGTATCGCAAATAAATTTTGTGGATCATATTGTTATGGTTATTATGTGTAGTAAATTTTCCCAGTGGCAGTGTAGTGATTAACCATTAATCGGATTAATAATTCGATGACAAAAAACGGTTTTATACAATATAAATTATACAATATAAATTAATAAATAATATTAATTTTACAAAATGGTTCAAAAACGCAAGTAAATTTTACAACTGATTTTTAAGGTCACGCATTGTTGTGATGATATGGCATATGTCTATTGTAAAATCTTTCTGTAAAATATTTATCAAAAATAACGACTATGAGTAATTTTTTAAGAAGAAAATTTCGGCGATTTTTGAATTTTGATTTAAAAAAAGATCTCTAGATGTAACAAAAAAAACTTGAACCTTTGAAAACAATGAGATAGTTACTTTAAATCAATATTTTATTGTTTGCGTAGCATTGGAGAGCTTAAAGTAGGATTTAAGAAGAAATTATTATTTTCATAAAACGCTTCAACTTGTTATGGATATTTTTAGTTGACACAATGCTATTTGAATTGCAAAGAAGAACAAAAAAGAATAAAATAAATTTACGACATAAAATATTGAAATATGTATCATGTAAATAACAGCAACTTTATTATTCCTATAATTAAATAATTTTTAAACCAATGTTTAAATTTTAATTTAAAACATTGCCCACCACTTCAAAAGATTGCACAACATTCCGTTTTCAGTAAAGAATGTTAAATTTTTTATTTAAACAAGAAACTAACAAACGGTGACTGAATGAACAAATTGTAAATAATATAAAATCTATCTTTATGTGATCGTTGTATGTCTCATAAACCACTTCTCATTAATTTGTTAGCGAAAAAAATGCATTTCTGTTACGGTTGCTTAAGCCTTATTTAGAAATATAATAATTTCGGGTAAGGACATGGCAATGATATATTTTATGCAAATGTAATAATAATAATAAATAGAATTAATATAGTACATAAAATTTCACATGCACATATTTATCAAAATAACAAAATATTTTAATTAATATTTTATAATGACTTTTTCATGTGCAATCTATAGCAAATAAAATAAAAAAAACAAAATATAAATTTTTTACATAGTTTTAAAGTTAATCATAGTAATGCATGTAACATTAGAAACAGTGACAACAATTATTTTAAATAAGAAGATTTTATAGTTGTTATTAACGTCAATAATAAAATTACTTTCATCAAAACGTTTCTTCATTATTTGCAGCCGCCACTTTCTCGTTTGCAAAGATTGTCACGTGATTACTCTCGATGTGATGTACCACCACCTTGTTTTCAGTTATCTTAAACATTAGAAATTTTACCAATAAAAATATTGTAAAATTTGATATTAAATACTGATAAAATGTTTTCTCAAAATACCTTATACAAATCATAATCCTTTTCGAGTTCAGGTGCATTTGACAATGTAGGTTTGAACAACGTTATGGATAATTTAATACGCGGTAATTAAAAATACAATAGTATAAATATATAGCTCTTTTTCTTATTAAAAAAATATTCTTGAAAACAACAAACTGATGTAGCAGGAGCTAGTTATAATTGCTCAAATTTTTCTTTTATTATAAAATTACAGACGTTTCGGCCTAAAGGACGTGGCCATCTTCAGTGTAAC